GGCAATTGCATCAGGCGAAAGTGATTTTCATCGAGAGTTTGCTACGATCCACACTTGTCAGTGGAAATAATATGACAATTTTGACTTCGACTGTGTTCCAACAGACTCAAATGTATTTAATTCCGTAAATTATGGTGGTACGTAATTAATATTGTAATAAAATGTGCATATTTTTTGTGATCATTTCTGTTTCTTCATTGTGAAAATCAATGACGACGCAACTAATTTAGTAATTTGATTTTCCCTCAAAGACGTAATCTGTCACTTGTTGAATTAAAATTTTCATTTGCACTCTTTTTCGAGGGGGGTGCTCGGGTAAGCACCCACCCCTACAAAATCGTGATTTTCTGAGTTGAGGCCCCTGGGCGCTAACGCGGTCGAGTACGGTACGAGCAAACAGAGAATGATGAAAGTCTTTTCCCAGTCCGGGATGAGCACTCTACAGTAATCACTCAACACTTTAGTTAAGACCCAAAAAGGGTGGTGTCTTATTTTGCTTGTGCTGTCCCTGGAGCAAGAAGCCAAAATGCTGCTACGGTGACAAGGTTCGGTGCGCCCGAGAAAGCTAGACCCCAACCCAATTCTGGGGGTAGTAAGCTTTTGAAGTTAAGACCGAAACAGTTCTGCATGACGGCATAGGCCGCAAAGCGGGACCTGGGAACTTCCAGGGGAGTGCTGATGGTAGAGAAATCTGTCCGCAAAAAATGCTGAGACTACTTATTGCCTATGCGCAGGGACCCTTGTGGTCGTTCGAGCTGGGTCAGCAAAGTAAGACTGACCTGCTACAACGGGACCCAACCTAAAGAAATTCTTCTCAATGGATTCGGTGTCTCTTAGGAGGTGGTTGATCAAGACGTTCTGCGTTCTCCAGAAGCCTGTCCTCTGTGTGCGCTCAAGGGGGTGGGGCATCCAACGCTAGCACTAGTGAGTTAGCAATCGCACAGACCTCATGCGCTCGTACTTGGTGTCTCTGCAAGCTCTGTGTCGAGGCAGTTAAAATCTCAATAAAAATGTGATGTGTACTTGTAACCCAATTATAGACCTCTAATACAGTCACAGTAAACCACCTGGTTATGGAAGTTGGGGAGGCCAGCCTATCCTGACTGCCTGATATGCAAAGATATGTGCCTGGCACCCCGTCCTGAATCCTTAGTACGGTTTGGTAGCAACTCCATGCTCGAACCGGGCAGAGAAGCAACTCCTCCTGACCCTCCGGGCTGACAAAATTTGACAGTCGGGGATGATGATCGGGTGAGGATCGTGTCCTGGGATTTGGTTCTAGACGAGAAACCTGATTCGTGTCTTTTAACTTGATTGTCCATAACGGCGGTACATCATCCTAGAAGGACAATGCCCCCAGCTCTGGACGACGCCTACATGAAGGGCCAGACTATTTTCCACATCAAAAATTTGAGTGGTGCTGATCGGAGAGGCTCAAAGGTCTGCTTAGAGCGGACAACACAGCCAACAAGTACCCGTGGGGTGGTTCCCTTGTATGGGGTATCGGTGTCTGGAAAGCAGTAAATAGTCTTCTAATAATAGAACAATCGGCTTGTTCCTGTATGTTCTCAATGGTGGGGGACAAGGCCGACCTGTAGCCAACGAACGCTGCGTAGGACAAACCCACTTCGTCAAACAGGTGGACGAAGGAGCCTGCTACTTGGCCAATAGAGGGATGGTATGGATCTCCCTCCGCTACACCAATCAGTGTATACTCGCAGCCTAGAAATGTAGGCAGCGTTGGTGGAATCCCTGTTTGCCCTGGAAGGACATTGGCAGCCTGCTCAGATAAAGCTTTCGTATGTGTGGGTCTACTGAGAACCTCTATGCGAGTAAGTAGTTGGTAGTACGCCGTCTGGTTGGGACGGCAGGTCCGGTAAGTCCGGAAGCACTACTGGTGTTTCGACTAGCATTTCCGACAGAAGTGGAAACTAGGCCTTGCTTGGCCAATTGAGTGTGACCAATGATAATATGCAGGTGTGCACCTGTCGAAGTTTTCTCCGGTGCCCGGTGAACTAGTGGGAAGGGAGGAAACGTGTACACAACTAAGTGGGTCCACGGGGTTAGCAAAGTGATCCTGGCCCAGGCTCCTGGAGTGTTATGTATGTCGGAAGCTTGGCGTTCTGGGGTGCGGCAAACCGGTCTAACCTTGGATCGTCTCACAGCCGAAACAGCCTGGAGGCTATCCACTGGGGTATCAGCCACTCCGTGTTCTGGAGACGGAGCCGCCCTGAAATGGCATCTGCCAGACTGTTTTTCACCCCTGGGAGGTGGTGTACGGTTTTAGCTCCACATTGTATTCCAGGCACCAAAGGAAGATTTGCTCAATGGGAAATGCGTCGCGTCCCCTCCCCTTCTTGAAGGAGAACACCACTGCGTTGCCTGCGTGGAGGACTCAGTGGTCTTGAACTACGGGTAGAAAGCATGGTAGTTCGAGTCGGTTGATATGGCAGTCACGAAACTAATGCGGGGGCCATATCCTTGGGCTTGTTCGTCCAATAGATGCACTCCCCAACCTTGGGAGGGGGCATCTGTTACCAGAGTCATACCTGCAGCGAGTGGGTCCAAGGGGGCCCCCTGTCCGAGGTTGGCCAGTGACGACCACCAGGGCAGGGCTTCCTTCACTTGGTCCGAGAACGAAACCCGCCTATCTAGTTCCCATAGGAGAGCTCGGCGTTGTAACAACAAGCGTTATACCGGGCGGCTGCCTGGGGAACCACCCTTCGAACAGAGGTCATCATTCCGATGATTCGCATTAGTTTCTAAAGGACACTGAGGGAACGCTGACTAGGCGTTCGGCTAGGCTGCTTAGCACTAAGCAACACGCTTGAAATACCAAGCTTACCTCTGTGTCAAACTCCATGCCCAGGAACACCAACTGCGCGCGTTGGGTCGAGATGGGACTTGTAGATTTACTAAAAAGCCCAATTGTGTAAATCCTGTGTTAGCCTGACATGTTTGGCTAATAACCCCTTGTCCGGGATGTGTAGTACATGTACCCAGTCATCTAGGTACGGTTTGAGGTGTACCGACATTTGGTGAAGCAGCAGCACTACCTAATTCATCACTCTAGTGAACACGTAGGGCGCTGTGCATAACCTGAACGTGGGGCACCTGAAATTTGAATACTTGGCCCAGCTGGGCAATTCGAAGGAGATGGCAACTCACTGAGTGCATCGGTATGTGCAGGTAGGCCCCGCTTAAGTCTAGTGGGGCTAGCCAGTCGAAACGGTGCATGGAGAGAAGAACCCTGAATGGAGTCTCCATGTGGAACCGATCAAGGAGCACGTACTGATTCAGTCTGCCTAGGTCCAGAACAGTACGCCTGCCACCTGTAGATTTGGTACTAAGAACACATTTGGGTAGAAGCCTGGACTTAGTGCCGGCTGATCTACCCTGTGTATGTCACCTTTTCCCAGCAAACTGCAACTTCCTGCCTGATTGCCTCTGCCTTGCGGGAGTTCCCTGGTAGTGCCCAATCGGGGAGACACTGACGGGGGAGATCAAGATTTCAGCGGTATCCCGTAACAGGATTTCACCACCTGGAAGGGTCCAGGGATTGGTCACGGTGACTGAGTCACCCGCTGTCTTCAAACCGGACTACACCGGCGCAATCTTCTCCCATGAGGTGAGTTTCTCAAAGGCCTGCAGTAGTCGCTAAGTTGTGACCTGGCCACTCGCTGAACACATGCCTGTCACCCCGGTTGCAGAGGTAAGCGTCAAGCGCGCTTTCCCCGCTGCCGGGGTAGACGACCCCCCTTGGAATGGTATGAGCGCTTCCTTCCTGGCTGGCGGACGACGCCCTAGGGCGTTGTGTTTTCTGTGCTTGGGGTGCCCTCCACTTGCCCTTGAAGAGACATGTTGGAATGCAAATGATGCTTTCCTGTTTCTTCCTGCTTGCCCACCGGGGGGCCGCAGTGGAGACAGCTCGCTCTGACTGCGTCTGATCTACCCGGCCTGCCAGGGACGCAATTTGCCCCGACAGTCCTTTGACCAAAGCCCTCAACAGGAGGCAAATCCGGTGTCGTGCGAGGAAGGATCCACAAAGGGACCCACAATGGGCCCCATAGGAGGAAAAAACCTCCAGGGGCACAGCCTCGCTGTAGCCGGTAAAATCAGGGGGGAGACCGAAACGCGAAGCACCTGTAGCCAGTGCGAGGACTTTCCACTCATGCCAAACACACATCTCACTTAAACTGATTTTTACTGGACGCGCGACCTTGCTACCATGGCAAAAAGCACATCAGATGCAGGTTCTATGCTGGTAAATTATGAATATAACCACTGCACAGTCGACTCGTAGATCAAGCATAAAATAAAGACGACATGCATGAGGGAAGCAAATTAAAGTAGTAAAAGGTGACGTAGCGTAATTATTAAGTGATTATGCTACAACGCCCAGGTTTTATTGCTTTGTTGTGAAAAGTGCTACACACAAAGGGGAAAACGACACAAGGGTAAAAATGACAAGAAAACTTATCCTACCAGCTACAATGTTGCATGCCACCCAGTGGCAACAATCCAAGCTAGAAACCCGGACTGGAAAAAAGCAAGCTCCCAGGCTGAGCTCACTAGATTTCATCTCCATTCGAGACGGAGAAAAATCAAAGTGATTAGACAGCCGTATGGGTGCCGTTATATGGCCTCGGTCACGTGGTTCGTGACGTAAGGGAGAAGTATCTCGGGGTCATGGGGCTTCCCCTGACCTAGATTCTATCTCTCCATTTTTGGCAGAATCGCTGATTAATGCCTACAGTTCAAAATAGTCATTTTGACTGACCGGAGTATATGGTGGGTAACTGAACATAGTGAATATCAGTGGAACACACACACACACAGACTCACTCATCACAAAGACCCTATTTGTGCTTTGCACACTGGAGTAAAAAAACAACTCAGTATTTTGATATAAGCCAAACCAAGCACCAAATACACATGTCACGCTCGACACTCGGCTGGACCTGGGGAGACGTGCGGATGGGGTCGATCTGGATCCCGGCGCTGCGATCCCATCAGCGTAGAAGCGACCGAAAGTGGCTGCTTTAGGATCGAGGGTGAAGGAATATACATAGTGTCACCTGGACTGATAATATTCCGCATCACCCCAACGTGGCTCACCGAGTCATTACGCAATGTGGACTCTGAGGGAAAACCCGAGGTACCCACTGTGTCTGACGCGAACGAACTGCCACCTCTCAGCCTAAATATGTGAGCGAGAGCGTGTTCGAGAGTACGTCTCATGACAGCCTCTGGGAACGCCTGTGGGTCGGCGAGAAGGGAGTCGAAACCCACAGCGGATCTCGGACTTAAATTAATCAGTCCGGTACCGCGCGGTGAAGCCTGTACAATGTATGTTCTGACCCAAACGTCCTGCCCGAGCCTTGGCAACCAGCATCCCCGTTGGTGTTACGTGTCTGAGGTTCTCGAGGAGAGTCTATGGTGGGTAATTGAACGTAGTGAGAGAGACCGTTGCCACTAAGCCTGAGCCTCCCGCGAATTAGCGGGAGGGGGGGGGGAGGGATTTGGGTGTCACGGCTGGGAACGGGGGGTTCCTCGGAAGAGACGTGTTTAGAATGCGAACGGTGCTTTCTGCGTTTCTTCCTACTTGCCAGCTGAGAGACCGCAGTGAGACAGCTCGCTCCGCCTGCAGGTAGTCTACTCTGCCTGCCAGAGACGCAATTTGCGCTGACAGTCCTTCGACCAATGCCCTCATTTCAGCAGCAAAACCGGCGCCTTGCGAGGATGGATAAACAACGGGACCCAGCGCGGGCCCCATAGGAGGAATGACCTCCAGGGGCACAACCTCGCTGTTGTCGGTAAAGTTGGGTAACCCACTGCCTGAAAAAACAGACTGTGCAGATGCCCTCCGATCAGTGGGGGAGACCGAAATACATCGGCACCCCCACAGTTCATTTTGACTGACCGGAGTCTATGGTGGGTAATTGAACATAGTGAATATACGTGTATATAAAAACTGTCTGAAAGATCTGAAGTCTGAATATATTTTCAACAAATAATAAGGTCAGTAAAAAAACAAAAACAAATTAGCTCAAGTAACATGTTGGTGAAAAAAATGCACACAAATGACCAAACACTGTGTTACAAACAATAAACAGATGATTACCTTTAATAATGGCTTCTGAAATTCCAGATTTTAAAAATTGCACTTTTTCTGTCGATGCAGGAATGTCAGGAGGTTGTGTGTTTTTTTGTTCATATTTCCTGCAACTTGTACTCAGTATTCTAAAACCATTTGTCCATGGGTGATAATACCAAACATTATTGAAGTAAGTCCATTTTGGATCCCCCCGTAAGTGCGCCCTACAAACTGAAAGACATCAAACATCGCATATAATTTATTATAATGTTAGAGCTTTAGAGATGACCTGACGTAAATGTAACTTTAATATCTACGTACTGTGACATGCAATAAAGATCAAATTTTATGTACATATCAAACAAACATATTTTATTTTAAATCAATTGTATCACAGAACTTAGTAGATGCTTGGAACTGACAAAAAACAACATTTGCACTGCAGTACAATCACAAATACAATTGTCATCTACCTGCACAAGCAAACAGTCGATGGGTGATCCGGGGGTGTTCCTTTGATATTCTTGGTAAAAATAATACTAACTGATCTTGTAAAAGACGACTATACGTGGAAACACACGTCAGCATCTCAATTTTAGATACAGTTCGTAACAGGGACGAACAAACGCTCTGAAGTTCAACTGTCAGCCATTACGACCCTCCAAGTTACAATATTTTCAGAATTCATGCACTTCACTGAATTTTTCAAATTAACGGCTTTTAGAAATACGAAATATGATATAAATACTCATTAGGTCATGATTTTTATAAAACACAGTTAATATTTCATACGCAAAATGCATTCTCTATTTTTTTTTAAATTTCGCATTAACCTAAGGAGTCAAAAAACAAAACAAAATGGCGACCATGCTAGCGAGAACATGTGTTCGTCGAGTTAGTTTGCTAACGAGCCTTCGTTCAATCCGAATTCGACATAACCAACCCATTGCTAGTTTAAACCATGGAGTTAATTCAGGTAAGAGTTTTCTGCTGAAGTTACAGTAGATTGTAAGCACCCACGACTATGAACTCCATGAAGCTGAGGCCGAGGCACTCTGATTTCTTGTAATCTAAATACTTTGTTACGTCACCTTCGTGTTAATTCTAGGTCAGGGTTCATTACACCTTGGGTCAGCTGAGGTGTAGGACAAACACTTTCAAGAAGTACAAATACAATTGAAGTCACTTCGGAATAATGGTTTTTATCACACTATAGGATATCATACTATCACTATAAGGAAAAACTAATTTCTGTAAAAATTCTTTATCCCCAACGATTTGAATCAATCTGATTGAAAAAAAAAAGTGTGATGTACCGAGGTAAGTGTAGGCTCCGGTTGCTTCCAGTCATTATTACATCTGACCAACAACAATGTACAGGAGTTGTAAACCAATTAGAAAGCTATGACGTTTTAGTATCTGATTGCATTCGTACACGCGATTGTACATAGCCGTTCATGCTGCCAAACATTGTGTACTAATAGTATGAACAGAACTCAACTTTTATATGCACGATGTGCTTTTTAGAACTTGGGTTAGAGCATTATGCGTTTGAACAACAGTATTCTGAGAGTGGAAGCCCAATTGCGTTAAAGTACTGTACTTCCCTGATAGTAAGCCCCTCTCGAGTATGAAGCCCATCCCTCTATTTTTACTAGGTATTTATCGAGTTGAGGGCATTTACAATTATAAGCCCAGAATGTTTTTATGATATTCTTTAAAATATGCATGTAAAAAGTGTGTTTCATTTCATAATAATCGTGATTGGCATGGTACAGTACAGTTCTCGCGAAAGCTTTGGCTTTTGTGGCATCATTGTCGCCTACGCATGGCTTCATTGTCGCTTCAGCATCGCATCATTGTGGCATCAGCTTCGCGTCATTGAAAATTGAAGCTGTGTTCGGGAATAAAATAATATGACCAAGAGTAAAATGACATTTTAAAAAGATATCTTGTTCAATTATTTAATGTTGCGAGTATTGAGTACCAAAAACTTTGTGAAGTACATTGCAATCTGCAAGGTGACGAGTGCCATATTGACTGCAAGGAAAATCGTGATAATTTAAATCACATGATGCAATCGTCATTCGGATACAACACAATTTGCTATTCGAAATCAAACTGTTCTTGTTATAAAATTATCTTATTTTCGTTCATTTTATTTGCTGGTAAGAGAACAGATTCAGATTCCTCATTTCGGTGGTATTTTTCTGTGTTTCGTTTAGTTTTAGCAGAGTCCGATCCCATGCCCGGACTACTAATACATGCAAAACACACGTACGCCACCTGGTGCGTCGGCGTTGCCACCAGCCATCTTGATACAAAGTTCCAAAACGTGCGTACATTTCTAACTATGATTGGATGGTTGTGGTGGTGTCGGGCTTGTTAAAATTTTACATCCAATTTTCAAAATTAAGTCACGATCAGTGACCTGAGCTCAATCTATACGTACTTTAAAAGTATTCTCACAAAAAATATTTTCGAATAAAAACGAACCACATGCCCTGTAAAATAGCACTTGACATGCAGAAATAATTTATTGGGCTTCAGAAAAAAACGTGTCCATTTAGTTGTAGTCGTAAATATTTGGTGACCAGTCGATGAACAATTTGAAACTCATGATACACACGAAAGTCCTTCGATACTGAATATCATCGACCCCAATCTTTTTTTGAACTGAGGTCAAATCCCAGCCGTTTGTCAAAATATACCGATGTTTTTCAGCGAATAATTGTGAAGCCTGTCACAGCACAAAAAAACTATGTGAATCGACACCGGAGATTGGATGGTACGACAACCCTTGAAATTAGCGTCAAATATGATTGGCCGAGAGTCACCTGATCGGTGCATGACCTGGGTCACAGAACCATATTTGTCCGTATTATCAACGGGACTTTGCGAGAGAACCACACCCACATTTTCAACCATTTTAGCGCGGAGGTTGCCAACAAAGGCCGAAAAACACATGAATTTTATGGATTTGAATAAAATAAAGCTAGCGATTGGTAAGACTGGTTAATAATATATCCCCTGATGCTCTTCGATTTTTATAAAAAATATAATAAATAGTACTTGTTTAATTATTACAGCCCGCAAATTACGGGACATGATCCCCATGAATTACGATAAATAAATGCTGATTGTGTTGAATGACGGACGTCGGGACCATTTAGAGAAACCAACAGGGATCGATATTCCAAACGAATTATTGGGATACGGTCGGTAGAAATTATTAACGAAAGTCAAGATTTTTCCAGATATTTACGAACATACTGTCAACAAATATATGCAAAATTGACAAATACACAAAGAGATATTAGGTTTTATTTTAGCCTTAGAAATATTTTCTTTCACTCAGTCCATGGAAGGTACTAACGGACCTTCCATGCTCAGTCCATGCGTGGGACTTCTATTTAGCTTCATGGTCCTTCGGCTTGTCTTCTCCTCTCCTTCTCCTAATTATACAAATCGTAAAATCAACACAGTCAGGAAAAGAAACCCAGACAACCATGTCGTACTTCTGTTGAAATACATTTTGTAGCAGTGCGTCACGTCAGAATATTGTTTAAAATAAAATAGTCAATCCCAGCCAAATCTAGGTCAAAGGGTCAGATTGCATGCATATAATTATAGATAGTTAAAACAAAAAGTATTTGAACTTTTGACGGTTGTTCAACATCTATGCACGGTTACTAAACTAGTAACCGTGATCTATGAAAACCATTAAATTGTTAGTAGACCAAATTTTTCTACAGTCAAAAATAAAGCGGAAATTCAACAAGCGGTCGCAAAAGCGAGCGATTGAAAAGCAGAAGCGGTTGAGAGGTTGGGCGAAATGAGTTCTGTGCTTCTTTGTTTGATGAAGCGATGCTGATGCCACATTGTCGCCATAATGAGGCCACAATGAAGCGAAGTGATAATCGCCTAACTTTTTAATGTCGCGACATTGATGCGATGCTGAAGCAAAGGTGAAGCCAAAGCTTTCGCAAGAACTGTACTGTAGTTTATTTTGTGCTTTTATGAGAATACTCGCATTAATTTCAGAGTGCATGGCGAACGTAGTTCGCATCCTTTCCATTCTGTCATTTACTCAGGGTGAACCCCGACGTTGCAATACTGGAGTAATCTATATTTCTTTGAGTAGTAGCTTTCGAAAAGCCAAAAATGTGATTGTTAAGTTGTGTACCTGGTTATTGGGCTTGGTTTACTTCGAGACTATCATGAAAGGCCTAGGGTTTGAATGATGTGACATGTTGGCGACCGTGAAAGGTGTTTAAATTCTTCCCCCACACTAAGTTTACCCACGGCTACTATTAACCGTCGTTTACTTTTCGGAAATTGCGAATCACCAGTTTTTAGGGACAAAATCATAATTTGTTTTTTCGTTGCAATCAGTGCTACAGATCGCATTTTAACATTGCGGTAATTCACTTCTGCATTGCGTTAAAACATCATCGTCAATAATCGGAAAATGTCATCATTACGAGACATCATTTTGATTGGTTAATTAAAGGAAGTTGTTTCAGGTCAAATCGTGCTGGAAAACCTCATGGTGAAAAATTGCTTTGCGTTGAGAGTTTGTTTTGCGTACGATCGAAAACATACCAAAACGAAGATAATGATAAATGCCTTCGTCCACTGTTTCCCCACAGACCCTACCCATTATTTCACCGTAAATTCAGACGGTATGTAAATCGTATTGTAATAAAATGTGTGTGTTTTTTATGAACATGTTTGTTTCTTCATTGTAAGTGTCGTGGAAATCAATGACGCAATGAAATATTATTTTCCGGAGCCCGAGCCTGGCCTGGTGAACGAATAATTTTTTTGGATAATTTTACGTTGTCGGCAAGATGGTTACAGTGTTTAACCCCAAAACAAAATCATATCTGAGTTGGTCCTTAAGTATAAGCCCATCCATTACTTCTCCTTACGTGTTCTTGCCTCCGGGCTTATGATCAGGGAAGTACGGTATACTGTGAAGATTCAGATCAGTCAGAGTATATCGTCGACGATGCCCCTTGTTCGGACGATAGTTTTATTTCAAATTACACGGAAGTCTGTGAACAATCTGCTTGGTGTTCTTGTGACAATGATTGTCCCATTATTTGCCAGTGCAGCCCTGTGAATACATGGACGAAAAATGTTTCCACGACCACCCTACAAACTCAAGATTGGATACTCCAGCATCCAGAAAAAAAAATGCCTGTCTTGATCAATCGCACATGCATAATGTTTGTACATTATATGTATTATATGTTGATACGCTTGTAAATAACATTAACATAAAAGTCGAAACAACCTAGACTAGAAGTCAATTCCCAGTCCAGCCAATTATGGCTCCCTAAGTTGTTTATATTTAATCAGATACTATTTCGTCATCATGCTTTGTTACCTTTTCTGTTTATACCTCATGAGGGCATTTTTTATGGCAAGATGGCGCAAACGGAAGTCTTTCGCAAGTTTATGTTTTCTCATATTTAAATCATCATAACTTTGAAGATAATCATTTTTTGACTCCCGTGTGCGAAGCACAATAGGGAGTCTTTGCAGTTACCCTGTATGTCTGTATGTCTGTATGTATGTATGTATGTATGTCACTTTTTTTGTTCCACCGTTATCTCAAGAACCACTAATCAAATTTTGGTGAAACTTGGTACATAGATGCTCTGGGATAATGCGCAGAGTTGATTAGGTTTTGGTAAAAATCTATGAATATTAATTACTATTAATTTGCATGATAATTAGC